TGGCTGCCTCTCCTGTGCCAAACTGCGCCTTGCACCACAGGCTATCTGTGATTCTATTTGTCATTACCTTCAGGCAAGAACACATCTCCTCCATCTTTCTAGACATGCCTTTCCCAGCACCTCACACGTGTGAACTGATGGTGGCCTTGCTGTTCAGAGCGTCCCGAGGCAGCTCCCCATCTCACCCCACCTGCTGCCCCCACCTGCAGGGCAGTGTCCCCTTCCCTCTGTATCGTGGCACCCTCTTCCCAGCAATAAGTGACTCTATCCGTCACTTTCTCAGTGGGTCTAACAAAATCATAACCTCCCTCACCCCCACTCCCACTCCTGATCCCCCTGAACCCCGCCTGGCTTTTTCCCCACGGTGGTTACCACCTTGGAATACACAATATACTTGACTTATTTATTCCATTTTCCTCTCCCTCTGCGAGAATGGAAGCTCTACAAGAGCAAAGACTTGTGTGTGTTTTGCCTCATAGTTCCTGCCAAATGCCTAGACAAGGCCTGGCTCCTAGAGGCATGAAATAAATGTTAATTGAAGGGATAAATTAGATTTCATGTGTGTGAGCTTTGCTGTGATTCCCGTCTGTGGAGAATGAGTGGCCAGCCTCTCTGGGCAAATGTGTTGTGGAACCCGACTGAGCTCCATAGAAAACATTGAGCTCTGAGTTTGAGAATAGTGTGTTTTTTATAATTTCTCTCAACCATGATTTTCAGGTTTAATTTAATACCTGATTATGTTGCCCCAATCTTCTGTGCATTTGATGGTTGTATTATTCATAATGGGTAGTTACAGCATTTTCATAATTAATCTTTAATTACAATATTTGAATAGCATTTCACATGAAAATGATTTACAAATTAAGGCTGCATCTCACCTCAGATAATTATCACAGGTCTGACAAATGTGCATGCAGCCTTTCATGGTAGGGGCTCCCTCCAGTGACAGTGTGTTGATTTCCTAATTATCGAAGGTTAAGCAGCATTTTTGCTTGCAGACCCACAATGTCTGCTGATGACATTTGTCATCCAGAAAGATATCTATAAAGCACATGAGTTGAGCTCAAATAATTACCACTGGTTCTAGTGAATTAGCATCTTTTGCATAATATATAACAAGCATTTTCAGGACAAAAGATTTTTCTTCATATCGACTAGATCAGTAACAGTACTTTCCAACTCACTGATCGATTGAATAAATCAAAGGCCAGCTAAGTAAGAAAAGAGCATAATTTATTTAGTTTTCCTTTATAGAGAGCGAAATGGCATCCCACTTACCTGCTTTATAAATTAAAAAGAGCAAGTACGGGACTTCCTTTGATGAAGGCAGCAAATACAAAGTAGGCTGTAGTCAGATGCCACGGTCGGTTAAGACAAGGAGGGAAACGTCAGGCAGCAGCGCAAAGGAGACAGAAGAGAGAAGGAAATGGGGGAGAAACTGAGGGCAGTTGGCTGAAATATAGAGATGGAGACACATGAGGCAGAGGCTGTACATCATGGACCAGAGTAATGTGGAGCTGCAAGGAATCAGAGCCATGGTCTAGTTCAACCTCCTTTTTTATAGAAAAATTGATGCTGAGAGAGATTAAGCGAGTTGATGGAACCCACACAATGAACCCAAAACAGTCAACTGTCTTGATAGGGAGAGATATATACACACAAAGGCAGGAAGAAACAGAAGAGTAGAACCTCAGAAAGACCCAGGACCAGAAAGAACCAACGACAGAGAGGCAGAGAGACAGAAAAATCTGCCCCTTCCCAATCCTTAAGGAACGAAATGTGTATACATCAATAATTAAATATATATTGTACTTATATATACATGTTTACCTTCATGATATAGTAAAAGTAGAATCAAATCTAGACTTGTTTGCTCTGCCAAAGCTGACCTTTTTTAAATCTGATTTTTTTGATCATCTTAATATTTATTTAAGGAGCCTTTTAAAAATCTCTTAAACTCTCAACTATTGCTGAGATCCATTAACTATGAATTATTTCCAAATGAAAATACATTCAAGATAGATGAAAAGATTAGAATGTTAACAGAAGTAAAATCATAAAAATGCTGGAAGAAAATATAGTTGAGTTATTATATTACTTTGAATTAGAGAAGTCCTTCTTAATTCTAATACCAAAGGCAGAAATCATACAGATAAAATAGACGGACACGACTACATAAAAATTCAAAACTTTCATAGGGAAAAAGAAACATTCTATACAAGTTAACAGATACATACTGGAAGGATGTCGTTGTCAAATTTATAACAAAAGAGTTGAAGCCCGAAGTACTGTTTCCATCAATAAGAAATATACCTTCTCCTGTTCCCTCCAAAAAGCCAAGGTCATACACAAAAAATAAGAATTGGGAAAACATAAAAATTATTCCAATCACAGTGTTTAAAACAATGCAAATTCAAACCATGAACTCTTTTTTTCTCCCCCTCGCCTATGAATTCAAAAGGATCCAGCTTTGGTATCAGAATAGGTGTGGAGAAGGTGGGACTCTGACTCCCTACTGGTGAAACACAAATTGATAAATTCTTCTTAGAGGAAAGTGTATTTCAAATGCCTGTAAAATGTATATGCCCTTGTCCCCAGTAATTACACTTCTAAGAGGAAAAACTGGAAAGGAGTACAAAGGTGTGTACATTTATTTATTACAGTATCATCTAAGAAGGAAATTGAAATAAGCTTGGACATGCAACAGTCGTGGAAGGGTAAACTAAGTTACACAGTGCCTTCAGAGCGAGCTACTAGGCAGATGTCAAGGAGGCGTTGCAGCTCTTCATTGACAGTGTAGAAAATGTCTCGGAATGTATTAAGTATGGAATGCAAGTTTCAAAACAATGTGTATATCACGATCCCATGTCTTCCTTTGTTTTATTTCTTTTCACATGTGTGCGCTCATAGATAAAAGTAGAAAAGGCTGTTTGTTAAAAGTGAAAGTACGTAGTTCTATCTGAGTAGCATTACAGACTCTCTTTTTCATTTAGCTTACCGGTACGTTTATGCTTTCCACAATTATGCTTTCCACAATGGAAAGCTATTACGTTTGTCGTAAGGAAGAGAGAGATCTAAAAACAATGATTTTTAAGTTTCAGCATATTTTGATAGGATGTAATTGTCTAATTGACTTGTGGCGAAAACCTGAATGGCTAGGCATTTATCGAGCAAAAGGCCTTTGGAAATCCTCTTATTGCAAAAACAAAAGCTGTAGTTGCTAACAGGATAGAAGCCAAATTAAAATTTTAACACATAAAGTGTGACTAATGGGTTGAAATTCTTCCAAATCTTAGCAAAGAACCAATTTCTCTTCGGCACAGAGGTGTGGTGTGAGGCTGAGCTGACGAGCAGACCGCAAAACGGGAAATCCTTCCGATTCGTTGTTTCTAATACCTCTTCTGCCGTCTACTGTCCCATAGCTTTGATCAAAAAGGGCATTGGACCGCCTTCAGTTAATCCTCTCTCCAAATATTTTATTAGAAAAATAATCCCTGGAGAATTAGTACTCAAATCTGTGTGCTACCCAATGAGAGAACTGCAGGGCTTGGGTTTAGAAAGATAATAGAGGGCCTCATTTGTCATTTCATGGCTGAGTATTTCCAGGCACAAGCAAGTGCTAATCCATCTCTGCCATGCCAGCCTTTGATCCACCAGCCCTATCTCATGAGCTGCTGCATTGTACACGTTTATCAAAATAATAAGATAGGTAGTCAGAGTCAATCCCCAGACTACCAGCCTTACCCAGACTCACAACCCTGTTGACCACTCCGTTTCTGAAGACATCCAAAACATGGCCCCTATGAGGTCCTGACCTGGAAGCTCTTCTCTTAGATGGTCAGCACAGAGCAGAGTGTACGACCATAGGCTGGAGAGTGTAAACTTCTTCTCTAAGCCTCAGTTTTCTCATCTGTATAATGGGGGTCATGATAATAAAGCCTACCTTGCCAGGTTGTTGTGGGAATCAGGTAAATAACATATGTAAGGTGCACAGTGGCGTACCCACTACACAGCCTTCAATCAAAAAGTAGCTTTTATTAGCAGTACTTTTTTTGGTAAATCCCCATTTAATAATTTTAACTATTATTCATTTTATTTAATTTCCAGAAAAGCTGTAACTCTACAATACAGACATGAGCATAAATTTGAGTCCCTCCTTTTGTACCAACTGCTTTTTTAAAAAAATCACAGCTAAACTAATTACAGACACAATTAAATCCACTAGCGATATAATGCTCCAGTGCATCTCCTATGACATTTGTTAGGGATATTTTAATATTTTCATGCTCCCGAACCTCCATCTAAGTCTGTAACTTAGAAAAGCACAGTGAACTTGATGGTGGTGCGATGTATCTGTCATGCAATGGCATTTAGACAAAAGCAATGAAATCTAACCTGTAATAAATGCGGTGTGGTTCATTTCTGTGTGAAATTATCAATTCCAATTTCCATCCACACCAGACAAGAAGCCCCAGGAACCCTGAATGTGAACTTAAAAGGAAAGCATTTCGTGAGACAAGAACCAAGACTTAAAATCACATTTCATATGGACTTGAGCCTCCCGACTAATTGACTTGTTAACTACGCTAATATATTCATGTCCTCCTGCCTTTTTATATGCCTTTCAATAGATAATGGTATGGAACTGAATGCAGAGAGATTAAAGAGCAAAGAACCTAGAGATTTCTGTGAACTCCTTTTTTATAGGAAGCCAGATAAGACTTCCAAAACGGCCTACACAATCTTTGTGCATCTCTAAATATTTTATATCTGTAGCAAATTGATTGCATCTCAGAAGACAGCCTCTTTTAATTAAGCATTATAGCCTAAGGGGGAAAAGCTTCAAGTCTTTCTATGAGGCAAGACCAAGTGGAAAGTGAGAATGCTAGCTGCACGTGGCCATCCCATCTCCTACCACAATTGTTCAGGGCTTGATGAATGAAAACCAGGCCACAGCAGAAGTTCCACCATCTGAAATCTGTGCCTTCTGTCATCCCCAGGTGGTGCCGGAGGCCAGCAGGGCTTCCTGGGCTGCATCCGCTCGCTGAGGATGAATGGGGTGACACTGGACCTGGAGGAAAGAGCAAAGGTCACTTCTGGGTTCAAATCCGGGTGCTCGGGCCACTGCACCAGTTATGGGACCAACTGCGAGAACGGAGGCAAATGCATCGAGAAATACCACGGGTACTCCTGTGACTGTTCCAGCACCGCGTATGATGGCACCTTCTGCAACAAAGGTAAGGCAGAGCCAGTGTCTGGGCATTTTCACATATCGTTTTGAGTCTAAATCGTCTACTTAGTGAGTTTTCAGCCGTACACTGTGTGCCTTTATTCCGAGGGTAAGACATCCACAGTTCTCCCACCTTAGGTGGGAAGTCCCCTCCATCATTCCCTAATTTTTGTTGTGTAATAAGATTAGATGAGAGAAGCTTTGAGTGTGGTGCAGAATTTTGCCCCCAATTCCACCAAACGGTGCCCTGAGTGGAACATGACAAAGCGGATAGTCACGTCACACCTTAATGGCGAGTGACAGAGTAAGTGGCCTCTGCAGCGGGACTCGAGCCTGACCCTCCACTTAAGGATATCAGAGGGGGTGAGCACACTGTCTCAGCAGAATGCAGCTCAGCTCACCCGCACCCCACCCGCTTAGAGGGTGGATTCAAGCTGGACTCCCCAGGAAGCCCCTTGGGCCAATGGTGCTGTTGTCATTATTGTTACCTGTGCACAGGCCGCCCTGAGTGGCTCTCGGCCCCCGCTGTGCTGCAGGAATATACTGGCATGCCATGTCTAAGTGGTCAGGTCAGAGCATCTGCCAGTACTACGTGAGTCCAGTCTCAAACGAGTCCTTTAACCCCCATACGTTCTGCAGAGCCGATCCGCAGGCTCCACGAGCCCCGCGCCTATGGGTGCCGTTGTTCAGGATGTGCCTGATGGGAAGAAATTCACTCAGTGCTCTGTGTGGCTTCCCTCCCACCTGTAAACAAGCGGGCTGGAAAGAGGCAGCGCCGGCACTGTCCCACGCGCCGACAGAAATGCGTGTCAATCACTCTCCTCTTTCTAAGTGAATGTGTGGCGTTTGGGTCAAGTGTTCTGTAAATGGTTGGTGCATCTCTTAATAAGCAGCTTTGCCTCAGTAGCCAATTCATACTGCCATGAATACACAGAGTGCGTTGTTTTGCTGGCATTCTTCACACAAGATGCCACACCGAAGGAAGGATTATTCCATAACATTCTCCGTACATCCAGGCTCCTGTCTGGCGATGCTGTCATGTGAGCATTCAAAGTAGGGCAGACAGGGTCTGAAGACCGAGCAGGACACCACACGGCCGGCAGATGCCCCGTGGCTGAACGGCACCATAGCACGGTCACGGTGCGTCTTCCTGCTCGGAACAACGTGCTTCCATGATTTTCCTGTGGGGCACAAAGGGCTGGGTTTGCAGAACACGTTAATTTTGTGCTTGTAGAAATGACAGTCTTGCAATTACCATGCATTGTGCTTGATGCTAATTTAATGCCACCATTCCCTTGCCAAAGTGATATCTGAATGCAATCAAGTAAGCGCTAATGCCTGAGAGATTCCACTCTGTACATAAGTACCAACGGAAATGAAATCACGAGCCCTTTGGTTTTGGAGCCTTAGGTTAAACACAGGAGCTCATCCAAAGCCTCCGGGGGTTAACAGGCAGGATTCACAAATGGAAAGGCGGCTTTGCCAGCGTCAGAGAGAAAGTCAGCGAGGCCTATTTATCTCCTTTGACCTGATCTCCAAGGGTTTACACAAAAGCCACCAAAAGATTCTCTTAATATCTGTTTAGCATTCGACTCAATGAGTGGCTCGAGCCAAAAAGTCAAATTAAAAACTGCAAAACATATTTGGAAAGTATTTGTGGGCGTCCTTCCAAGTCAAGACAAGGCTCTTCATGACTTGGGGACAATGACAGTGTTGCTGGTTGAGTCACGGCCTTCCAGACAGGCTCAGTCACAGACAGGGGACCTTCCCTGTGAGGCCTCCAGCCAGGTGCCCCCTCTGTCCTGGGCCTCACCTCCCAGGTAGCCTGCTATTAGCACAGCAGCTCCCTGTGACCACATCTGCACAGCAGGGCTGCAGCCAAAGACCCTGCTTCTAGAAAGAGTGGCCACAGTCTCTCCCCAAAGAATGACCTGGGGGAAGTCCTTGGTGGGCCTGCCTTTGAGGTGTAGGTCTGTGCTTCGGGGTGTGGAATTAGTGTCCATGGTAGTTTGTTGAGTAAATAAAGCAGGTCCCAACACATCACACACCGCCTGGGTTGTTTATACAAAATCTCTCTCTCTCTCTCTCTCTCTC